TGGGCAGCCCATGGGCTGGGTTGTTTGAGGCACAACAAACGAAGTCTTTCACATTTACTACAGTCTACAACAGCTTAAGGGAGAAGCAGAGTTTTTCTTCCCTTGAATTTGTAAACCTCTGTGTGAAATTCTAAGTTCTAACTAATATTGCTATGTTGCAACTTACATGTATCTAGGATTCTAGTTACTAGTAGTATTAGGTGGGTTACAGCCTGGGTATTGTTGTACCCTCTAGATCCACTTTGGTGTCATGACATGAGAATTTCCAAAGAGTAGGGCCTTGTAGAACTGAAAAGGCTTGGGAATCTTCCCTTTGGTAGACTAATATACACTTACAGGCTCACAGCAGTATCCTGCTGGAACAGTCAAGCCCGCAGGCACCCGCTGGGCCAGCCCACGCCAACCCGCTCCGTTTAGTGAGTTTAACAGGCCGGGCCAAAGTCCAAATATTTCACAAAAGCACTGTCCGCGCTGTAGTATGCCAATTGTGTTTCAAGTATCAAATTGCATAAAGTCACAGTTCAATATGTAGAAGGGCATATATTCTTAGGCGTATTATGGCATAATCACATTCTACGGGTCATTTAACCCATAGTCACTCACTGGAACCACTAGGCTAGCTCCACTCAGTCAAAAGTTATTTGGGATTTAAATTTTATTTGCATAAAAAAATGATTATTGCATAGTGTAACCACAAGTTGGCCACATTGTTTGTAGGTACACTGAGAATCTTGTATAGTAGCAAAACCACAATTTGCCCAGATGATTAGATGCATATTCATTATAGGTTAGGGCTAGAACCACAAGTTGGCCATTTATAGATTATTGGTTAGGGCTAGAACCACAAGTCAGCCGGGTTGTAAAATAGACTATTTAAGGAGGGGCGTTCCCCCCTCATTCCAACTTTTGATCATCTCATCATCTCATCACAACAGATCATCATCTCATCTGATCAGCAACCAGACAGAACAGAGCAATCAATCCATACATTAACCAGTGTGATCTTAATCAAAGTGCCCCATTGAGATCATACAGTCATTGAGAAGCATATGAAAAAGAAAGTAGCAACCAGTACAACTTGTGATCTTAAACAAAAGACAGTGATCTTAAACCATTGTGCTCTTGACCGAAGATTCAAGGAGGAAGGGAAAGACACTTTCAATAGTCATATTTTTGCTCAAGTATCATCTCGTAAATTCACATTCATCATCAGTACATACGTCAATCATTTTTCAAAAATACATAAACATATAAACAAAAACACCTCTTACTCAACATTTCCACTCAAAATAGTCTGCTGAAGCCACGTTGATCTAGGTTTGATAAGAGACTGCTACACATAGTTTTCTCTATCATCAGTTTTGCCACAACAATAAATAATTTGTTGTGTTAACTCTAGTGTAGTACAATAGAGGGGCAGGTCTTTCAAACCAGCCGTAACAGTTGTAGTAGATCATTACATACGTGATATACCTCATCTGCTATTTCCCCCTCACAGGGCTGCCACCATTCCCAAAGGAGTTCTCACAGCGCCCGACCCAAACCCGGACGGGTTTGGGAGGCCTATTGGACACCCGGCCCACATATCAACCTTACACTACACTACGCTACAGTAGAAGTCACACTACACATGTAGCGTAGTGTAACTCATCAATTAGAGAAATTAATGTGTCATGTGAGAATTTATCTCTTGAACCCTCTTCCTCTGCTTTCTGTTTTCAATGGAAAATTTGTGTGAACTGTCCATATGAATGATACAGCCAAGGTCCATAGTGACACTTTCAATGTCCTATGATTGCACACAATCCCGCAGGAGATGAACAGCACAAGATGTAGAGAAAAACAAACGGAGGATGTGTCTGGTGAGATTTTAACTCACAGCCTCATCCATGCTGATTCACATACCAGAGTGCTTCCTATAGACCATCTTCACCCTGGGGAGGTAAACTGCACGGGTAAACCAAATTTAACTCCTCAAGCCCAAACTTCCCCTACCACCAGGGGTGCTAAAGGGGAGCTAAATATAACAGTTTCACAGGGTCATCCTGGTGAAATCCGGACTCCCCCCCCCCTCCGTGGGAGGGCCTTTTACAAACCAGGAGTGTGGATAGCACCCTGTGGTGGAAACAATTTTTCCAAGGGTTGCTATTTGTCTGCTGCAGTCCCCGAGTTTGTAAATTTAACAACTCAGATGACTCTGCACGGTGGAGATGGTCTTACCAACTAGGCTATAGAAACTTGTGGTTGCGAGGTTAGTTGGGTGGTATTTGCCATGTTTCATGCCAACAGCTCCACCACACTCTGATGATACATCATGGTAGCAGACTATCATACACCTCAGTCCCCCCCGCCTTGCTACATGATGTGAAAGTGGAAATTGAGCACAATTAAGTGTGGGAATGGAACCAACAGTGCAACAGAGACGATACAAGAAGGTATCAGGCGTTTATTTGTATTGTCTCAGAATTTGAGTACCCAAAAATACCGGATGTGTGTTGTCTCACTTTCCTGAGACAATTCACACGTATCATCTTTGGAAAGTGAGACAAGTATTCTGTATCGTCTCAGATGACTGATCCCACCAAAAATGTATTTGATACACAAGATATTTGGCTTTTTTCATTTGTAAATCCAAATCCGAGACAATGGATTTTCTCACCAACCAAGAAAATGCTGATACCGGTGTGGTATACCTTAAGGGTAGCCATCTGGCCCATTTAAGAACTTTACAGTTTTTCTTTTATTACAAATTACATACTTTTTACACCTTTTTTCTCATATATACACTCACAAATCAACCATTATGGCTCAAGAACTGGATTCTATGGTCAATTTCACCCTTGGTCACCACTGGAGGCGTCACTGGAACTCAACTGGATTGGAAGCTACACCCTCTGGACCATCACTACACTCAATTACACAACTCACCACCATGGCAACACTTCAACACTCAACAACACCAACAAATTACATAACTCACACTATACATATGTACATTGCAGGACAACTACATACACTCTCACACCATTATAGTACATGCATACACACCACTCCACTATCTTCTGACAGTTGACACATGCAGTGTTGGTCTGGTGCCACTCTGGATTTACAAGTGACATCATGCAGGTTGTCATGTCATTTTTTAATCTTCCTTGCAGCTGTCAGACTATCTCTGTCAGACACTGAGACACTAGCCCAGGTGTCTACAATAAAAGGTAACCCCCTTGGGTTACATGATAAATATTATCATATGTAATTATTAAGTTAATAAGTATACAGTTATGTTATTCTCTTTTATGTGTATTAGTTATGTTAATAAATGTTTAGTAAATGAATAAAGATTTACCTCTTTATTAATTTACCCTTTTTCTGAAAGTTATATTCAGATTGAAAAGGATAATTATCTCTTATGATTATCAAAGAGATTTATCCTGTGTATCTCTGTTGTAAATACTTATATTCCTGTTTATCTCTCTTAGGTGTATCTTCTGAAATAAGAGATTTTCCTCACATGTACTTTAATCTTCTTGACATTTCTCCCCAAAGAAATAGCATAACCTTATGGGGACTGTACCGGTCCTACAAGCAGACTGACCTCTGCTCTGTAATACTTAAGGAGGAAGGCTATCCCTCTAGGATTCCTTTCCCCAAGAGATTACCATACCAACCCGTTAACCTTACATATTTTACAACAGTACAATAAGTGAGTGGGGTTATTAGTAGTCTATTATTACATTACATATTATTTCTATTCTCTCTCAATTGTACTAGTCTGTTACAGTTAAAGTATTAACTAGACTAGTACCAATCTTTCCTCTTCTCATAAGCCTGGCGCAGCGTAATTAATCCGCTGTCGTCCCTTACCATAGTAAGGAGCAGCTCTTCCATTAATCTAATATAAGGAAGTAGTTAATTCCACTACGTTGATTCATCAACAATAGTGAGACCTATTTCCACTACGTTGTGTACACAACAATAGTGTGACCCTATTTTCATCAACTCCTAGTCACTCTAGAGACGGGAGCTGACAACTGGGGGTCTGGCCGGGAAATCTTTTCCGGCGTACCACCATTCCATAAGATTTATTTTTCTCTTTCACACCTCAATTCTACAATCATCGGTTTGATTTTTTTAGGTCTCAACACTGATCGATTGATTTGCTTCTTCCTACAGATCAGCAACCCTCTCGATCGGATCTCTTATCGCTCAAGAAGTTACATATTCTGATAAATCTATCAGTTAGTCGAAGAAATTTTTTTTCTTTTACGAAACTCATCGATTTATTACCGATTTCTTTTTTAACCATAACATCTTATTTTGTTTTAGTATCAACCTACTCGATTCAAGCTCTATTCATCAGTGAGTCGATTCGGTTGGAAAACAAATATCAAACAGTAGTTTTGATTTTCAGAGATCCTTCTGATTTGTTCTTCTTAATTATTCTTGATCGCACGGCAGTGTCGACCGAAGCCAGGCCAAAACACCCCGGTAAAACTTACTCAGAGCAGTATCGGCGTCCGAAGGAACTCGCTCCGAACCGAGCAAGACGACGAAAATCTACCGCTAGAAACCTAAGAAGCAGTACAAAAGTTCCAGATATCGTACCGTCGGAGTGGGACCGTGATTCCGTTGATTCTACGAAATCCGATAACCCTAATACAACTGCGAAAGAAGTGATAAAACAAGCTAAGATTAATACTAAAAAGGCGACTCCGACCGATAAACCAAAAGTCGAGAAACGTAGATCTGAAACCACTAACGCTAAAGTGAAGTCGACGGAAGGAGTTACCCCTGTCAAGCCTAAGGATCCGATACCAAGTGTCGATCCGTTCAAAAGCGTTGAAAGGGTTTCCAAACTTATTGATAAGGACTCGATCAGCCACCTCTCCTTTAGGAAGAACGATCGAGTCGACCCGATAAGTTCAGAAAAACACCTACCAGATCAGATTGAAAGAGTTGCCTTGTCGACCACAGATCTTACTGCGAATAGATCAACAGTCGCTTCCGATCAAGTTTCAGCTTCAAAGACTTTACCCGATAACGTCTCCAACGCAGCGATAACACTACTGAGCGGTGGACAGACTTTTAATCGACCAGTCAACCAATCGACCCAGAAGAAATTAGATAACTACTTCATTCCTCAAGGTCGTACAGGCAGATTGGTCTCATCTAGATCGTTGGATCATCCGAACAGCTCCGCTCCCTCGGAGTCTTATCAACTCAAGTGAAGGCAGTGATCTAGACATCATTACAGGTTCGTTTGAATCTCTCATCATTCTGTAGAACCATTGTAATTCAAGAACCTATCACTTACTTTAACCATGTCTCGCACCAGGAGCCACCGCCCAACTTTGGTCGAAGCCCAAGATTTTACCGTGCCCTAGGGGAAGACATTCTACTCAAATTTCGTCCAGCTCTTCATCCGCTTCTTCAAGCGGTGAAGCTCAATCTCGAGTACTACCGAAAAGCGGAGAGGAAAAAAGACGAGTCGATGAAAGTGGTAGCTCTCCGAGCAGCAGCGGGACTCCAGAAGGACTTATCAATCTCCATCAACAAGGAGGAGTTCCAGAACCTCTTCAGCTGGGATCCGATGTCCGAATTCGAGGAGTACACGAACGGCCAAAAGGGCCGAGCGTTCCTGAACAACGAGGTTCCGCTAGCAACACCTACTCCACCTCCAGAGGTGCAGATGACCCCACCCGATCAAGACATGACTCAGAATCAACAGTCGGTGTATCAACCGGAGGTATACCAACCTCAACAACAGATGTTCTACCATCAGAACGGATATTATTATCCGTACCCTCCCGCCAATCCGTACTGGCATCAGACGGGCTACGACCAGAACGGGTCGACTTATCCGCACCATCACCCACCACCTCAGCAGTGGAACGAGTCCACTCAAGTTCATCAAACAGACACGACGATTCCGCAACCACTGCCAGAGAGGAACGAGGTAATGAATCAGGACAAGAACGAGCCGTTCCAAAAGAAAAAGAAAAACAACAAAAGCAAGGAGGCCACAAAGAAACCAAACTGGGTACCACCAGTAAACTCCAATCGAGCTCCTCGGTACTCGAGCGCAGCAAGCGCGAGGGAACAACGTCGAAGGTCTTACCAACTCTCGATCCATCAGGAGATGATAAGGCTCAACAGGACTACTCAAGCGCAATATCAAGCTCTAGAGTCCATGCGAAGTCAGAACGCAGGAGTCGCGAATCGTCGTCGACTCCAAGGGGAAGATCAGACTCCAAGAAACTAACAGCTGACGAGTTAGTACCCATCTTACAAAAACTTTTTCTAAGCATAGAAAAGATTGTAGATACTAATGTGGCTATGTTATCCAAACAGATTAACTCAGATGTCACGGTAGGTATAGCTAATCAATTGAGTCATCAATTTGACACATTTGATCCTAAATTTAAATCACTGTTATTTTCTTCTGAGAATTCTATTGCTATGTTACAAAATATTACTAGGTCCCTTCCACAAATAGAAGCTTCGGCTAAAAAATGGTCAGCTTCAGAACCAGATTTTCATTCCTTAAATAATAAGTTGTCTAATCTAAGTAATATGTTTTCTAACTCTTCTGAGTCTCACAATATTAAAGAAATTAAAAATATTGTGATTGCCCTTAGTAACAGAGAAGATTTGTCCAAGAAAGCATTTGACAATCTTTTCAGTCTTGTGTATGATAAATTGGAAGAAAACAAAAATAAGACAAATGACTTCTTTGAAAAATTGAACAATAAGTTGACTCCTGATCCTGGAGTTGGAACTTCTTCAAAATTGGAATCTACAGAACCAAGAAAAGAGTCACCTGAATTATTTCCAACCAATAGACAAGATAAGGGTAAAGGTAAGGAACATTGTCATCCTAGTGCACCTGACATACTTTTACAAGATCAACAATTGAACAATAATAATATTTGTTCTTGTCATGCAAAGATCTCTGAGCTTAAGTTAGAGCATGAATTGCTCAGAGAAGTTAATGAGAAAGTAGATTACCTAATTAACTTGAGTGAACAACCAATTGCTGACATTAATGCTAAATTGTTGGTTATAGAAAATAAGAATGAGAAGAGATTCAACACTTTGTTGGCAAAATTTGATGGATTTAAATCCCCCACTGTAATACTATGTGAACAGGTAGATCACAAACGTGAAACCAGTTCTACTACAGGACCAAAAATGTCTTATGCTCCAGAGGGGTCTATACCAAATCCACCAGTAGTTGTGAACAACAATAATGCTGAATTCTTTGAAACCAGAAAACAAGCTACAGATCTTGATCCTGGAAGACTAAGTGAATTTTTTGAAGTTCCCTCAGTGCAAAGTGAGACGGTACCAGTTACTAAACCTCATATGTCCCATGAAACAAGTAAGATTATCATGCAAGGTTTGTCTAAAATAGAAGCATGGCCTAGCTTTTCTGGAGATGGTGAGTATAACCATGTGGACTTTATCAAGAAAATTGATACTATCCAAGAAGACTTTCATATAGAGGATGCGGTTATCAGTACAAAATTGATGAACATGTTCACAGGTTCAGCAGAGCAATGGTACTCCACCGTAAGAGCTATAGTAGGAAATCAGTCTTGGGCTTTTTGGAAAAAAGCCCTTCATAAAAAATATGGTACTCCCGCCTGGAGAAGAAAACTTTTGACTAATTATCAAAAGGATAGATTTGTACCAGGGAGTACCCAAGCAGCAGCTTGGGTCACAAGACAGTACACAAGGATCATGGCATGTGAGCCACAAACTAACCATGAAAGCCTCATGTTTAAGCTTCTGACCCAAATGGACGGAGAAGTCAGCTTTGCAGCACAAAATGCAATGAAAGATGGCCAAACTCTGACTTCATTAATTAATGCTTTAGAAGATATTACAGAATACACCAATATAGGTAAGAGACGACCATCTTATGGCCTTGGTAACAAGCAATACACTAGTAATAATGGCTTGGATAAAAGTAAGGACTCCAAACAAAATTCAGACCTTAAGTGTTATTCTTGTGATAAAGTAGGACATACCTCTAGAAACTGTCCGAAAAAGGCTAAGAAAGTTGTAGCTATTGGTGATGAAAGTAATATTGATGCTAGTATTGATTCAGAAAGTGATGCTGAGCAGCAAGATCATAATCCAGATATTGTGTGTGTGAATACTACGTCCGTAGATTATTTTATTTCCCCTGTTTCAGGCAGTAATAGAATAGTGCAAATGATTTGTTGTCACAAGCCGTGTAATGTACTGCTAGATTCTGGTGCCTTTAAGTCAGTAGTTGGAATGAACTATTTGACTAAGTTCTGTCCTGATTGGAAAAAATTTATTATTTCCACAACTACTGATAAATTCCATAGCTGCTCAGACCAGTTGACTACACTAGGTGTAGTCAAGGTTATTCTGGAATTTAAAGACCACAAGTTACATGTGGATTTTATAGTCATTGAAAATGCCTTAGTAAATTATTTCATTCTAGGAAATGATTACTTAAGCCATTTTAAAATTTCTATTATGAATGATAAAGGTAGCTACTTTAAAATTGGTTCTGATAATGTCAAATACAAATTTGGCAACAATAAGTCTAAGTTAGTTGCATCAGGTGATACTTCTGAGTACTCATTTCTGCAGGAAGTAAAGGATAGCTCCAGAATAAATCCTGAACTGCCAAGCAAAGCAAAGGATCAACTCCTTCAATTGCTCTTTGCCAAAAAACAGGCTTTTGCTACGGTGGAAGAGCCCTTTGGTGCAATCAAAGGTCATGAGGTGAAGTTGACTTTGAACATTGATAAACCATACCCACCAGTCTTGAGAAAAGCACCTTATCCGGCTAGTCCGAGGAGCAGAGAAGCTTTAGCCGAACATATAGAAGCTTTACTTAAACTAAAAGTCATTAGAAAGGTAGGTGCAAATGAAAATGTGGATATTACCACCCCGGTAATAATTGCTTGGCATAATAATAAATCTAGACTTGTTGGTGACTTCAGAGCTTTGAACAGCTACACTAATCCTGATAGGTACCCTATGCCTAAAATAATGGAATCTTTAAGTAAATTACATAAAGCAAAGTATATTACTTGTATGGATGTACTCAAAGGATTCCATCAAAATGTTATTCATAAGGATAGCAGACAATTCTTAAGAATAGTCTGCCATCTTGGTATCTATGAATATCTTAGGATGCCGTTTGGCATAAAAAATGCGCCATCTCACTTTCAAAGAATGATGGACACAGAATTTGCAAATGAGCTAAGCCAATTATGGCTCATTATTTATATAGATGACATTATTATTTTTTCAGATAATTGGAATGACCACTTAGATAGGTTGAGTACAGTACTGGATAAAGTCATCAAAATGAATATGAAAATTTCACTAGCTAAGTGCCAGTTTGGATTTTCAGAGCTAAAGGCTTTAGGACATATAGTGAGTGGTTTGTCTTTAGGAATTGACAAACATAGAGTAGCAGCAGTGTTGCTCAAACCTACACCTCAAAACGTCAAAGAAATGCAAATGTTCCTTGGTTTTGCTGGGTACTATAGGTTACATATAAAGAATTTTGGGTCCATGGCCTCTAGTCTTTATAAGCTCTGTAGCCCCAGTGTAGTATTTGAAATGACTGCTGAAAGAGTTGAAGCTTATGAGTCCCTCAAATTTGCTTTAACAAATGCTCCACTATTATTTCACCCTGATCCAAAAGAAAGGTTCAAATTATATGTTGATGCATGCATGGAAGGTATTGGTGCAGCTCTGCATCAAGTACAAACTGTCAATGACAAACCTGTAGAAGGACCAATTTGTTTCATTTCAAGACAACTCAAGGATTCTGAGAAGAAGTACGGTGCTTCTCAGCTTGAATGTCTCTGTATAGTGTGGGCCTTGGATAAGTTGTATTACTATCTAGATGGTTGTGAGTTCAATGTCATCACAGATTGTAATGCCCTTAGGTCTTTATTGAACATGAAGACACCCAATAGGCATATGCTCCGTTGGCAAATTGCTATCCAAGAATGGAGAGGGTCTATGACAATTGTTCACAGAGAAGGCATAGTGCATAAAAATGCAGACGGACTTTCTAGATGGGCTTTGCCAAATGACCCTAGTAATCCTGCTTATGATGCTAAAGAAGCTGAAACAGGTTCACCAGTTCTGGATATTTTGCCTTTTAACATGAGGATGTCTGAGTGTCTTGCACACTGGGCTTTACCAAATGATGAAAACAATCCAGCTTTTGAAAAAGAGTCCTTTGTTGACACGAATCCTATTATGGCTATTTCTATATCTGGATTGTCATCATCCTTTTGGGAATTAATAGAAAAAAGCTGTGAATCTAACAAGAATACCGTAATTTTAGTCAAATTACTTAAGTCACCTTACCCAGATAAAGGTCTAGTTGAAGGACTTGAAGGAATTTGGAAAAAACATTTCTTGGAAAACAGATTTGTTTTGTTAGACAAATTATTGTACCACAGGCGTGAACACAACTCCTCAGTAGTGCTTATTGACCCCAGTCACATCAGTATAATTTTGAATGAGTGCCACGACAGTATCACTTCTGGCCACTTTTCCAAAGAAAGAACTCTAAATAGAGTCCAAGGTCTGGCTTGGTGGCCGGATTGGAAAAATCAGGTGTCAGATTACTGTGACTCTTGCGACAGGTGTCAAAAAGCCAATAAAGCTACAGGAAAACGCTTTGGCTTGTTACAAACAATTGATGAGCCAAAATCAAGGTGGGAAATTATCAATATGGATTTTGTTACAGCCCTTCCTTCAGCAGGACCAGAAAACTATAATGC